AGCCCGGCCACAGGTAACGCTCTCACGGCGGCTGCCCTTCTGCGTTTACGCATCGACGTACTGGACGAAAATGACTCACCGCCGGTGTTTTTAGAGCCTGCCTCTGTCGTGACTATTGCCTTGCCAACTCAGCCAAATGCTGCAGTTGCGCAGTTTCTGGCCCACGATGCCGACCTGGGGGATGTGGTAAGTAGAGGCTTCCGAGATGTCCTGGGAAGCACCCCTTTACGAAAACGCATTTTTTGTTACCGACCTTGTACATTAACTTTATGGGTGCCGTTATGAGCTGAGAGTTCGACAATCCTGACGGCCAAAGTATTTAAGAATTTAATTCCCTCACTTGCCGAGGGTGGCGTTGCGGAACTGTCAGTACTACCGTCTTGGAGTCCTGTAGAATGAGCCATGGTATTTGTCCCGATAAACCCGATCGAACGTTAGTGACATGGTGCGTCCTGATTTGTCCCACCCACATTGTTGTTTGACTATCTGTATGACAAACCACAGCTCGATATGGTGAATCTGTCTCACTGCTTCACATCTCACTATAGAGATCTGTAGCTTTAGCTGTGGCTTCGTCAAACTCGCTCTTTATACCGCACTTACAAAGCCATCTTAAGAAGTACTCCTACTCTTAAGATGAACAAACCACACGGCGTCCTAGTTATTTTTCCTTATCCATTCTGCACTGTAATAATTTTAAGCAGTTCTTAATCTTTAGGTGCCCAAAATAGTTGCATCTGAATCTTCTGAGCTGTTTCTAGAGTTCGACTTATCGTTTGAGATTCATATGACCCGATGGGAGGGGCGTTGTCTTGCTTTCCAGGGCGCATGGGTTCGAATCCCACCGTGTTGGTCTTTGCCTGACAGTGCTCATCGACTGGTATCAAGATGAAAACTGGTATCGCTGTCACTAACTAAAACGTGAGCTCTTGATTTTCTAGTCCGCTTCAAATCCAAGATTTAATTTAGAACATAACATCGACAGACCAGAGTGTGGAACACCAGTATAGAGCACCATCCTCTTCGAAAAACAATATCAACTTTTGATTTATGCTTTTACAGTAGAAGGTGCATTATCACTTGATCTACATCCACCAGAAAAATGGCGTCGAACTCTTCAAGCACATCTTTATTACTGGAGTCTTAAAAAGGTTAAATACTTTAGATGCAAGTGTGGTCCTCCAACATGGAATACAGTTCTCACCGCCACATAGGTAACGTTTCTTTAATTTTGATCAAAAAAGCAAAAAAGGCTGGTATGGCCGTTTCTGTCCCGTTTGTAATCATCAACCTACCATCCTGCAGCTGCATACCAGGGAGACCTGAAATTATAACCCGGGCCAATTGTTTGTTGGATGTCTAAGTGAAACAGGAGAGTGGAAAAGCTCTTCCCTATTCGGTGCCTTGTGTCACCTGTGTAAACCACATCCTAAAATAATACTTAGACCGCTTTTATTCATTTTCTACTGGTCTCTCCTGCATGTGTTAATTAAATTGCCCCAGACAGAAATGGTCAACAAAGACATTTTTCATTTACAGGTTATTATTCCTTTATTTTACGTCATTGCAGAAAAACTTTCCTTAGGTTTTGGGGCAGTTCCGTGGTTATTTCACATCGGCCCTTCTGTGTATCACCTGCAAAGCGTACACTGCAATATTCTGAGACCACCAGAGTGCTTCACCATAAAGTTATAAATAAGGAAATTTAATTTAGGGAAAGAATACAGCGCGTTATGAGGAAATTTGATGAGAATATGAAAACGATGACCGTGTTTAATGACCTACTGTTACTTCACCCAATTAATTTTTCGTCCGTGTCATCAGCTCTCGTGGACTTATTGACCGACTACTTCAACGTGACGTTGTTGATACATAGATTGAACGCTTGGTGGGGAAGTCATGGAATAATTCTACCAGGCCCTTTAACCAGGCCCCAGCGTCCCTAGTCATACGAACATCTTTTCGCCATCTGCGAAGCCGGGCGTTTCATCAACAGGAAAGAGCGATTCGTTTTTGTTCCGCGCCTCGTCTTGTTTATTTGTGCTTGTCCAGTGCCCCTCTGACAACGCTGATGTGGGTAGCTTTGAACAAACTGCACTTTATGCATTAGGTGTCACCCTATCTGCTGTCTATAAAGACACCCATTTTAACGCTATATAATCGAGTGGGGTCTAAGGAGATTTCGGGTAGCTGTGGCGATCGAGCGCATTGCTGATGGAAGCGAACAGGCGAGTTTCAGACAGCAGCTCAGAAGGCTGGATACGAATGGACGAGGAGGAAAGAGGCTGACTCCCGGGTTGCATCTGAATTGGCAGCATCCGGCCAGATTGTCAAGTTGCCCGAGGCCAACACTCTTGCTAGAGGTGACAACCTCGTGAGTCGAAAGCTGCTTGAGTCAAGGGCCTCAGGCCGGCAGTCCATCACAACCATATCGGCGGTTGTGTCTGATGACGGGTTCGAGTGGGAATCCAAAACGTCAGGCTAATAAATTCCTTGTTCCAGCGATTGCAGTGTCTCCTTCTGATCGAGCACATGCCAAAATTACAACTTTTCTGTTGCTATTACTACCCCTGTTACTATAGCCAAACTACATCTTCTACAGTATTAGATAAAGTCGTTGATAGAAGTGAATATGCGAGTTCCAGGAAGCAGTTCAGAAGCAGAAAATGCGATCGCAGGGACAAGAACTTTATTTGCCTGATGTTTCGGATTCTGTCGAGAATCCTTAATCATAGGTAACCGAAGGATAGTATGAGATATACACAGATTGCGCGGTTTTTATAGTTCGTAGCGGCCAGATGCATGCTTACTATAATTATCAGTTCCTGTGACCACCGCTTGGGGTCGTAATTGGTGCGGGGATGGATTGGCAGTTCGCTTTCCAGTAATTAATAGCCGCGATTTCGTTGTCCTTGTTGGATGCGGGCTTGATCATTGCGCGACAGTTATGTTCGCTGCCGTCGGAGTTGTTGCTGAGCCCGGCCCTTCCCACGTGACTGATTCTGCCGCTCAGACAATGTCTTAGTACGGAGCATGGGAACACCAATTCGTTGGACTTGTTGATTGACTGTGGACCTGAGAACTATGACTTGAACAGCTCGCGGCTCACGCGGTTGTCACCTTTTGCGAGGATTTCGGCCCCGTTAAACTTGAAAATATGGCCGGATCCTGTCGTGTGGGCTGCAACCTGGGAGTTAGCGTCTTTCTTCCTCACCGCCGCTGTGCGCTCGGCCATTCGCATCCGTGATAAAGTCGCTTGAGAAC